AAGATGTAAGGTGTTCTTCGTAAGGACACCTGTGAGTTTAGAGGCACTGATACCGGTCTATATCAAAGCATTCTTGTACGTCATATAAGGGGTCACTTTGACGGAGATCAAATGAACAAAAGTAATAAAGTCATGGATATCAGCTATTTATCTCATCTCATAATCGTAGTCTTCCGACCGTGTGGGGCCGATCCGGCCGGCTCATGTGGAGCGCCGACCAGCAGAACTTCCAAATTCGGTAATCCCACCGACATCCTCCTCATCAATCGATATCATTACAAGATTCTATTCTTTAAACCTCATTCTTTTCGGTGTGAGAAACCTCACCCTGCTCGTGACCCTCGTTGAACATCTTGCCACCAGCTCCAGCAACACTGTTGCGGTGCTCCCAGGTGTCATGGGGCTTCCATCCAATGGACTTTCGGGCAACGCTGACCTCGTCGTAGAGCTGATCAACCTCCTCGAGGGACAGACCCTTGGTCTCGTAGATGAAGAAGTAGACGAAGGCGATGCACAGGAAACAGCAGCCGAACCAGATGAAGAAGATCTTGGACTGGAGGTTGGCCTTGCCGGAACCGTAGTCGACGAGGTAGGGGGTAGAGTAGGCGATGGCCCAGTTGAAGAGCCAGTTGGTGGCGGTGGTCATACTGAGGGACTTGGCACGGGTCTGGAGAGGGAAGATCTCGCCAGTGACGACCCAAGCCAGGGGACCCCAGGTTGAGGCGAAGAAGAAGATGTAGATACAGACGAAAGAGACAGCAGCCCTCTGGCCAGCCAAGCTCTTGACGAAGATAACTCCGGCGCTATCTTGGCCGGTGGAGAAGGTACCGGACATGGCGACGATGAACTGAGAGACACACATGCCGACGGCACCCCAGAGGAGAAGAGGACGACGACCCCACTTGTCAATGGCGTACATTCCAGGGAGTGTGGAAGCGACGTTGATGGCTGATGTGATCATGGAAATGGTGAAACCGCTCGAGATACCGGAGTTCTCAAAGTACTTGGTACCATAGTAAAACTAAAGCTTGTTAGCCATGTCTCATAACCATGAGATAGTTAAGCGAGAACTTACGATGAAGTTGATACCAGTGAGCTGCTGAAGAGCCTGGAGAGCACAACCAGTGAACTGGCGCTTCAGAATAGGAGGCTTGAAGCAGTCAATGTATGAAGATGTTCCGAGGCTCATCTCATGGTCGTGGTTCGCCTTGATCTCGCTGAGCTCAGCCTGGACAGCAGGGTGATCAGGGGAGAGACGGCGGATCTTGGAGAGAGCGCGAGAGGCATCGTCGTGACGGTCTTTCTTGATGAGGAATCGAGGTGTTTCGGGTAGGATGAGCATGCCACCGAAGAGGACGAGGGAGTAGGCGAATTGAACGGCGATGGGGATACGGTATGAGCCTGTGTCGTTGCGCTTGCCTGTCGCGTTGTTTACGATGGCGGCGAGGAGGAGACCGATTGTGATGGCCCATTGGTATGAACCGACGATGGCACCTCGAATCCACTTTGGTGCTGTCTCAGACTGGTACAGGGGGACTAAAAATCGTGTTAGTTACCTAGACCGAAACTCTGAAGCTGTCATGTGGTGTACTTACTAATAGCGGAAATTTGACCAACACCAAAACCGGCGAAGAATCGACCAGCCAAGAACATGGGGATAGCAGTAGCAGCAGTTTGGAGAGCGACACCGAGGTTGAAGACCCAGGTGGCGATCATGAGACCGGGACGACGACCGATGTAGTCAGTCATGAAGGGAGAGGAGAGAGCGCCGAAGAATGTGCCGGCTGAGAGGATGGAGACGATGCTGGACTCTTGGCCCGTTGTGATGTTGGGGTTGCCCTTGGAGTCTGTGTAGCCGGTGCTGAAGAGTCGCTGCCAGTAGGGCATGGCCAAAATACCAGAGATGGTACCTGTGTCATAACTGCGATTGTTAACCTCACAATGGATCTTCAGGTGAAAGGGAGTGTGACTTACCCGTAGAGAACACCACCAAAGGCGACAAACAAGCCGATGGCGATAGCAGGCCATGCCTTGCCAGCCTCCTCGGGCTTGCTGAGGGATGCCCTTCGAATTGCGTTCATAATGAAGATCGACACTCAAGCAAGAGTGTGCAATGAGAACTAAGAGTGTATAAACAAGTGAAGTGTGTGTGTGTGATGATAGAAAAGAAGAACAAAGCCCATTAACAAACGCGGGAGATTGTCTCCTTTTAAACCCCAAACAAGCATCATAAGCTTCTGTGTTGTTATACTTAAACCTGCATAACCAAAACCTCTTGCGTAACATTACCTCCCCCCAGAAGCTAAAAAGCTAGGTTGGAGCTAAAGCTATTCCACGGCTTGTCCGAGCTAGTGGAGTGCGGAGCAGCCGCACCATCAACTTACGATGGTGTAGTTAAAAAAGCTAAGCTGGGGGTGAGGAGGTCATGTGGTTCATTGGTTCAGCAAAGTCCTGGTGTGGTGGTGGTGGTGGTGGTGGTGGTTTATTTCCCTCCCCCTCAAGGAGTGTCGTCACTGGCGAGGGAGATAAAACGCCTTCGCCGTGGAGAGCGGCTTGAACTAAAAAGGACGGGTAGATGGTGGCGTTTTGTCTATTCCATATGCTGATATAGCTATAGTAAAAGATGTAGTGCGTTACAACTATGTGTAAACAATCTCGTCGTCTTGGGCTGTGGAACCTGTCAGAGCAAACAAGCTTCCCCAAACGAACTCCATTTTCCCCAGGTCTTTTTTCTCGGCGCCCTCGTGCTTAACGGACTCATCTCCACATTCAGGTATTTGGAGTACATATCCCATGGCCTGGGGTTGTAAGTTAAAGAGTGGATATCTCTTCCCCCGAGCCAAGAGCCGGGCCAGGCCGGCTCGGCGACGCAGATGCCGAAGAGCCCATTACCATTTTTGGTAAGTTTGTTTAACTTTGGTGAATGGGTTTAGTTGACGATATCCTTTGCCACGACAAGAAACTAGAGACATCTGGCTACAAGAGAGAGTAATTTTCAATAGTAAAAGTATCAATTCACTGATGGTGTTTGCGTGTTTAGGAGCCATCTGTGAGAAGGTGTTTAAGCAGCTGACGCCCAACTTCGCTGGTGACGCTTTCGGAGCCGGCGGCTTCACAAGTAGCGCGCGCAAAGACCATCAACCACTTCGGCCCTATTGTGGAAGGTCGCTCTTCTTTTCATGAGGGCATTCAGACCCAACACTTCTTTTCTTTTTCTTTTCACGTCTACTCTAATAATAACCTCTAGCTCTAGCTCAGTTCAGTTCAGCTCACCTTTACGAGTTACCATAACAATACCATCACATCATAAAAAACCTGCATTGAATGTGGAAACAAATCTCAGGCGTTATTGTGATTGCAGAATGGCGTCGCGCCTCGCTTAGAGTGAGGCGCTTGGCGCTACAAGGCTGAAGGTGTGTGAGGCGGCAGAGCTGTAGCTTGAATTGGTGGCTGTTGCTGTGGTTGGAGAAGAGGATGGGAAACCCTTGTTCAGGGCATAACCTTAACTTTATGCTGGCGATTCAACAATATGCATACAGAGTTTGGTGTTGCCATGATGAATCTGCAGCCTCGCAGTGTGCGATTGATGGTCTTAGGTTGTGCCGAGCACTATCTGTCGTGGTACAGGTTCCTAGAGAGCTCAATTGAACTACTACGATATGTTGAGAATCATTGCTAGCGAGAAAGCCTGTACATCTTACACCCAAAGTCGACTGATCAGCGGCTGATTCTTCAACACTAACTCAACAGTCTCTCGACTAACAAACCACTCGATTCCCCAGACATTCACTCCATGGAGCCATCAGCATCAGCATCGCTTAGAATCCAAACCCCGCATGTCGGGGCGAGACCATTCTGTCAGTTGATGATCATGTCCATTTCCAAAAACTCAATCCTCCACCCCAATAACACAACCCTGGTCACTAGCTTGTCGGACCGGTAATGTCACCTAGCGCCAAGTCTTGATAGCAAAAGCACCGAGATCTGCACCGTTTCTCACGGATACCGGCATCACGATATGGAGACCTCGAAGGTATGAGCAGGGATACTCGACTCATACAATCATCCTTCATTTTTCGAATCGGCGGTATTATGGAGTCGATTGGTATGTATGTCTCTCCATCCTCCATGTCCATGGGTCTATGACAATCCCCGCGGGGGAGGGGATAATCACCGTTGGACGAATACAATGTCCGTTTTATCACTGCGACCTTCCTAGTCTAGTCTCTTTTGTCGGACCGTTGAATGCTTAACACGTCCCGCTAATGTTTGACTGCAACCCCCGAGTTGTATGACTGCATGCTTCTCCATGGGCACCCCATATCATCTCCAACATTTGTGAATTGGCTGTGCCTACTCCGGACGGAGTACTGTCCCTTGGATCACCGATAACGTTGCCCTTCTGTGCTTGTGCGGGGTTGGGCATGTTACCGTAGGATCTGGGGAAGTTCCTCCGCTTACATGAAACGAATCCTTTATTGCAACTTACTAGGCACCTGATGACAGGAAGGGCAATGATTCTCTGGAGTTGATCTATCGGCGTTGATGGACGTTGGAATCCTTCAAAGGAGCAAGAGAACTTCCAATAATAAACTTGGGTGTTGAAAACGAGTCATTAAAGGGTTTTCTAAGTCTATACTAAATTTACCTAGGTAGTATCTATATCAAGAAAAGAGGCCCTCAGTTTTCTTGCCTCCCATTAAAACCTCTGGCGCTTCAGGTACAAAATTATACGTCACTTTCAAATGTGCAATCAACGAAACGGATAGAGTGAACTGCATCGCTTCGTCTCTTCATCGTCTATTTGACTTGTCTATGACGCCCCGAGAAATCTTCTTCCAATGACCTCTTCCGCTGAATGATAGACTAAAATCGATATACGCTTTCCTCCCGAGCGAGAACCGACACCTTGCGCTTTTCGAGCCATGACCTTGGCTTCAACCCGTTTATTATGTTCCCAAGAACACTCTCAATCAGTAGAGCTCTGCCACCCCCTATGTGGCGTCTGCTAGACCTCTTGAATTGAGACCTTAAGATCCTCGATTTCCCGTTCGTGATAATCCATTTGGTTCTCCATCTCCCTCCTTTGCTTTACCAGGCGTCTAAGAGCTGCTGCATGTTGAGCCATCTCGTCGCATTGGCTAATCTTCGACGTCGCATGTTCAAGCTGCTCTTGAGCGCGTTGCTTATGAAAGTTGGATTGCTCCACTGCCGCCTCACACGATTCGAGGGTTTTGCGTTCGTACGCATCATAGTCCGACTCGCCGATAGTATCCGACCTGGGCTCGTTACCGCAGGATTCATCCTCTCCAACTACGGCAGGCTCTTTATCTTGAGCATCGAGGCCGTCTAACTGGGGGGCTTCTATGGTTTGAGAACCATGGCCATCACCCTCATCAACCTTCTCCTTAGAAGCCACGTCGCTTACAGGCGATCTATCGTCAACCTTTTCCTGAGCCTGATATCCGCTGCAATTGGCATTGATGGAGTTTGTGTCTTCGGGATTGGAATGCTCTGGCTGATCGGACTCTGCAACTTCAACTTCCTCCTCAACAGATTTGTCGCTCTTGTGAACGGGGTTGTCGACCATGCCCCCGGTTTGAGAATCCTACTCTTCGGCATTGGTAATCTTGTACGTGTTGGGGCTCTCGTTGACCTCGATGATCTCGCTAGGGACCTTCTGTGCCATGTAGCTTCTTACGCTACACCCAGAAACAGATGTTTGGTGATGAACAAAAGGTACGCCGCACTGGGCAAGGTATGTTTGAATCTGAGAAAAAGCAGCGTAGCTTGTTGGACCTTCAAAGGGTACTATTTGCTCAGTAACGAAACTTTTGATATCTTGTTCTGTAATACGCCCAGATTGCACGCCCTTTCGAATGAAGGCTCTGATGTTCTCATTGAGGTCTTGCTCGGAGCCATCGGATACGGTACTTTTTTTAACGCCAGGAGATATACCGAAGAAGGTGGCGATTCTTTCCACGGCCGCTCGCTCAGAGGCATTTCGTGTCGTGACAAAAGCATCAGAGACGCTTCTTTCTTTATCTTCAAGGGTGATGTTTGCTTGTAGGAGGTGGTAAACCATGTTTCTGTGATATTGAACTGCCAAGGGGATATTTGGAGGTGGTGAGAGAGAATATGGTGGGCAGTCCATGTCAGGAGCTGCTTGGACATCTTCGGTAGTGGTTGGGGTGCCTTTTTGGGAGGCTGCGGCATTCTTGCTGCCCTCTCCTTGCTGCTCACCATTCTTTGTCTTGTTCTTGTTCTTGTTCTTGTTCTTACCCATATTTTTCGATGTAAGGTATGCAGTATGTAACGAATGTTGTGGATGATGAAGATGAAGATGAATGGAAACGGATGCTGGTGTTCAGTTAGATCGTGCTTGGATGGACTGAGGTATGCTACAACTGGCTCGTAAGGGAAGGAACTGGAAACAGGGTTGATATTTGGCAAGCCCAGTCCTTGAGCAAGAACCTCTGCAGCCAGGTCAGCCGCAACCTATGGAAGTCGCTGACCTCCATAACATCAAGATACAGGTAGGTACTTTCGACCACGACCCTTGGGCATGGTAACTTACAAGCCTTCATAGCCTTCTCAAAGCTTCGCGGTATCTACGTGAAGTCAATCACTGAGTGAGGATATCTAGGGGAGGAAATGAAACTGAAGTCCTAAACTATAAATAACCAAAAATATTTAGGTAAATTCTCATAAGCTTAAGAGGCTATTTGATGATTTTATTTTGGCATATATTCCATTATCAGTCTGTTTTCCTGCACCCTATATCAGGTGCCAAGGCGAAAAGCTCCCAGGCGGGTCCCGCCCTGCATTAGCACTCCCGCACCCCTAGCACCCACTGTAATCCACTGGAGCACTGAGACATCCGCATTTCCCATCAACACGTGTCAAACAACCCGCGATATCTTCATCTTCAACCCCATCACATCCTCCCTCCACCCACAATCGCTCATTTCTCCCCAACCGCCAAAATGTCTCCCTCCCCTGAAAAAGAAAGCCCTCCGGCGCCCTCAATGATCAAAGGCGCTTCCCTCCTAATTATCCTCCAACTCGCCTCCCGTCTCATAACTTTCATTGCCAACCAACTCCTCCTGCGGTATCTCACAGCACCGCTACTAGGCCTATCAACTCAACTCGAGGTATACTACCTCTCAGTTCTCTTCTTCGCACGCGAAAGTCTTCGTGTTGCTATTCAACGACGAGATTCGGGATCGCAGGCTAAAGAGGAGAGTCAAGCTGTGGTGAATCTGGGATATCTCGCTATTGGACTGGGAAGCTTTGTCAGTCTTGGGTTGGGGTGGATGTACCTTGCGTATGCGAATGAGATTACGCTTGCTACGCCGTATTTGGTTGAGTCGCTGCATCTCTATGGGTTTGCGGCTATGGTGGAGTTGTTGTCGGAGCCGTGCTTTGTTCTCATGCAGACGAGGCTGCAGTTTGGGACACGAGCTGCTGCTGAGTCGATTGCTACGTTTTTGAGGTGTATCGTTGTGTTTGGATCTGCTGTTTGGGCATCCAAGCACAATGATATCGGAGTGCTGCCTTTCGCCCTTGGACAGATTACCTATGGTGTCTCACTACTCCTCGTCTACCTCGTCTCAGGATATCGCCTCGCCTCATCAATCGGCTTCTCACTACTCCCCAAAACCATCGCTTCGAAGGATAACCGTTTCTGGGCCTCCATGTTCGACCGATCAACGATCGGTCTCGCAGGAAGCATGATGGCCCAGAGCGTGGTCAAGCACCTCCTCACCCAAGGCGACACATTTCTCATCTCCTTTCTCGCATCAGCCAGCGTCCAAGGCGCATATGCTCTCGCAAACAACTACGGAAGTCTTCTTGCCCGTCTTCTCTTCCAGCCTGTTGAAGAAAGTAGCCGAAGTTACTTCTCTCGCTTGCTGTCATCTGTAACACCTGTCAAACAAGGCGGTAAGCCAGTTCAGGAAGTGACAGAAGCAAAGCAGAATCTGCAAACTCTGCTTCGCCTGTACATCCTTTTGACTTCAATCATCATCAGTCTTGGACCTTTTGCTGCTCCGCCTCTTCTGGCTATTGTGGCAGGCAAGCAGTGGGCTGGCTCAGGGGCAGGTGATGTGCTTGCAGCGTACTGTTTCTACATTCCCTTCATGGGTCTTAACGGTCTCACAGAATCATTCGTGGCGTCAGTTGCTACTGAAGCCGAGGTTCACATCCAATCTGTCTGGATGGGTGCATTCTCAGTCATCTTCGCCACATCAGCCTTCCTCTTCATGAGAATCTACCCTCTCGGTGCTATCGGTCTCGTACTAGCCAACATCATCAATATGGGGTGTCGCATCATCTGGAGCGGAGCATTCATCAAGCGCTTCTTCAAAAGACATGGAACCGACTTCAAGATCAAATCACTTATTCCCGAGAGCACACTCGGTGTCTCAATCGCTACAGCTATCCTTCTCAAGCAACTGAAAGTCGTAGACAACGCAGATCAACCGATCAAATCTCTCGTCAAGATCGCTGGCTCCGCCATTCCATTATTGCTTCTAATGTACGTCTACCAAATTCCCAAAGCAAACTTTTTGAAAACAACATCTAATCATCGCAGCCTGGTCCTCGAGCGCCATTTTATCCTCGAGTGTCTAAACTCGGTCCGCGGTCGCAAAGCCGCAAAACAATAGTGCTCCCCATAATAGTTGTAATTCTCTTAATCAAATGTGATCTTGGTCGACTTGGCGTTCATGTCGACATCCTTGAAGAAAGCGCCGTACATGTCGTGAGTCTTCTTCTTAACGGTGGTACCGAACTTGAGGAGATCTTCAGGCACGGGCTGGTTGGCACCTCGGAGAATGTTGACGAGCCTGAATATGTAAGTATGGATCTATCGCAGAGGGTTTGTGAACTTACGAGCCGGAGTGCGACTTGTCCTCGACAGTAAAGAAGGTGATAGCCTCACCAGTCTTACCAGCACGGCCTGTTCGGCCAATGCGGTGGACGTAATCCTCAATGGTCAAGGGGAACTAGACAAATTAGCGAACGTCGGGTGGCGATTTGGGTTGGACATACTGTAACGTTGATAACGAGCTTAACCTCAGGAATATCAAGACCACGAGCAGCGACATCAGTAGCAACAAGAACAGGAGTAGCTCCAGACTTGAAAGCCTCGAGACTCCTTGTTCGCTGCTCCTGTCGCAGATCACCGTGAATGCCACCAACGCGGATGCCCTTACGGCTCAAGAAGTTCTCAACACGTGTAGCCTCCTTCTTGTACAGGCAGAAGACCAAGATACGGTCGTTCTTCTGCTTACCCTGCTGGTGCTCCTTCAGAAGCTGAAGCAGACGGAACTCCTTCTCTCTGGGCTCAAGAACCTCAACTCGCTGTGTAATTCTTGTGTTGGCTTGCAGCTCAACAGATCCATCGGCTGTTTCCTTACCGCCAGATCCAATGGCGATCTTTACGGGGGTAACCATGAAAGAAGAGGCGAGGGTCTGGACGGATTGAGGCCATGTAGCTGTAAACATGAGTGTCTGGCGCTTCTCGCGGGGAAGGCAAGCACCCAAGATCTGCTTAATATCCTCCTCGAAACCCTTGTCAAGCATACGATCAGCCTCGTCGAGAACGGCGAAAGTAACTTGGCTAAGATCAACGGTTCCATCAGACATGAAGTCCTTAAGACGACCGGGGGTAGCGACAATAATGTCAGCGCCACATCGGAGAAGGTTTCGCTGATCATCCTTGGAAGCACCACCGTACAGACACACACACTTTAGCTTGTTCAGCGCAGCCACGGAAGCCATCTGCTCATAGGTCTGCATGGCAAGTTCTCGTGTAGGCGAAACAATAACGGCCTTGGTGCCCTTGTACTTGATATCAGAAACAGCCTCAACACAGGGAAGAGCGAAAGCCATGGTCTTTCCGGATCCTGTCTCAGCGACACCGATAACATCGCGGCCAGAGAGCGTGAAGGGCCACGAGGCGGACTGAATAGGCGTAGGAGCCTTGTAGTTGGCGAATGGCGAGGGCTTCTTCTCAAGGAGGTTTGTAGCGGGAAGTTGGTGGAATTCCAAAACGGGGCGAAGAGTGACGGTCTCGGTCTTGGGGTCGGTGATGGTGATCTGGTTCTTGGAGAGGAATTCGTCAATCTCGGCTTGAGGAACGTTGGAGAGGCTCATGGTCTGGACGTAAGCGCTGTCGGGAGAAGCGTCGTCAGAAGACTCATAAGAAACCGGGACCTTCTTCTCCTTCTTAGACTTCTTCTCCTTGGGAGCTTCCTCGGCAGCTTCAGTAGTCTCAACAGACTCCTCAGCGGCCTTGGCCTTCTTCGCCTTCTTCTTTTCCTTCTTAGCCTTCTTGCGCTCATCACGCTCAGCCTCAGAATCGCCAGTCTTTCCAGCAGGTGTCTCCTGCTCTTCAGTCTTGCGCTTCTTGTCCTTCTTCTTCTCCTTGCGCTCCTTCTTCAAACGAGCCTTCTCGTCGACGTCGGTGACCTTGGTCTTCTTGGAGGGTCGGTCGACGACGGCGTCCTCGCTGTCAGCGAGGAGATGCTTTGTAGCAGCCATTGTGAAAGATTGTATGTGATATTCGACCGGGGGGGGAAGTTGTACGAATAGCGGTCGAGGGTATCGCAGAATGGCTGGGAACAAATTGCGACGTAAAAATGGGTGGGATGTTTTACAGAGCGAGCGCAAAAAATCTCTTATCGATAAGACAAATCCGTTCGCCTTCCTGTCCAGACCCACTTTCCGTTGTCCCCGGGAAGGTACGTACTCAAATTCCTTTATCGGAGGACCCTGGATTGAACGATAGGTTTCGTCCAAGTCGCTTCACATTCACTATTATGCGTTAACAGCATTTCATGTTGTGATATTGAACTAATAGTTGTACAATTACAATGCTTGGTTTTGTAGTCATCGAGCTGGGCTCACAGTTTAAGCAGTAGGCGACACGTGTGTCCTGCTGTGTCCTCGCTTTTCAACCCTTCAGGTTTAAATATACAACATTTCCAGTCTCATATGCGTAACGATCGTGTATGCTCCCTTCCAAGTCGGTACCCGAATGCTACAGGTGTCATACCTGAAGTGCTGTCACAAGGCCTATCAAAATGCAAACTGCCGTTCGGTTCTGTCAAGTTGGGGATGGAGTTACCTCGATGCCTCACTTACTGGGCGATGTAACAGAGTTGTAATTGGGTCATTCCTGGTTTTCATTTGATCGCCTTATTTATATGGCATTTTGGTTTGTTATATTTATTCCTAGGTAAGTCATGAAGCATTCTTTGCCCTCCTCTTTGCCAAAAGCTTCCTAGTCTCTGTTGGACTACTTCATGATCGCCTTGGGCGCCGGTTGTGAGAGTTTGACTAGTATGTCTGTCTCATTCTTTACGCGACTATGCGAGAGTCTTAACCTGGTGCTGAGCTGAGAGATGGTATACAAGTGTACGCCGGACCCCAGTCACCATGGAGGATGAACTGTGTTCCCCATGTTTCGCATCCGTCTTTCGATGGCTCATGAGACTTGACCATGAATACCAGGAGCGAGCCGCTTTGTTCTCTCACGGGCCGTTCTGATGTCTACGGAGTCGGTATTCGAGCCGCCTTTTACGCACAATGGCTTGGCTCTCTTCTCATAGAATACCTCTCTGAGGAGAACCTCGCAGATTTACGGTTTATCAGTATATTTTCTTCAGCAGCGGCGTCTACATCTCTCGTCATTGGAGTAGCTTACAACTCCCTTCAGCCACTCGACACATACTTCTTGCTTCTTCTAGCTATGGGATTCTTTCTATTTCAGATTCCATTATACATCTGGCGTATTCTCACGAGGCGTCAAGCCCACCTTGACCCGTTTCAACTCTCAAAGGAGAGCCATGGACATTTCTACCATCTCATGAGTCTTACGGTACTCTCAGCTAACGTGTCAATTGGAACATGGTACTTCACATCCTTTCTACCGCACCTCGCCTGTGATTGCCGTGACGTGATATTTCTACTTGGCAAGGTCGATCTGGAAAGTCAGGGATATATCATAGCTGGCTCGATATTCTTCATTGGGATTCTTGTCAGCATTGGCGGGTTTATCTTTTTGAACGCTTGTTGCATTATCACCAAGTCGAGTTCGCAACATAGGAGAGCGAGGTGAGATCGTTCCAAGCTACTCAACTGCACGACTGAACATATTCAGGTCGAGAAATATTTGGCGACTCAGGATACTCCGCGCAATATCTGGCTTCATAATCTTTACACTTTTGGTTCTCTCGATCGAACTTCCTATACAGTGGAACCACATCCAAGGCGTTTACGAATTGACTACCGTCGCACAATTACTGCCCCTTATGCTCACCATTGGAATATTTCTACGATCTTGGGCTATTTATGCCAGCGGAGCTAACGATACGTCGGGAGGACGAAGGCGTCGCAGACCTCCTTCAACTTCCACTTCATCGACATCAAATTCTAGATCGACATCAACCACATCAAGTGGCAATTCGTCCCAAGTCATGGGCTATTATTATACGTACCCTGCTTACCACAATGATGAGGAAGATCCCCAGTACGACTACGATGACTATTATAACGATTACAATGATTATTACAATAACTACTACAACTATTCAAATACAACAGAGAATGATCAAGCCCAGATTCAGTGGCCTCAAGGAGTTCATTTCTCACGTTGGTAAACTGTCAAGAAATAAACCTCTTATCACCACTCATTGCTATAAATCAAGGTGAACCTCGGTGACTCGGTGAACCCCGCCGCACAGACCCCTGGGACCCCTTCCACCCCGCAACCGCAAGTAAACAAAACCACCAATTCCCAAACTCAACCCGTCACAACCGCCCGCAGATACCCTTCATTCCGATTGATTTCTCAGTAGCGCCGAAAATGTCGTCAAAGGAAGCTTCCAAGAGTAAGGACAAGGATAAGTCCAAGGTCCATAAGCTCTCTCTCAAGGGCAGCGCTCGTCTTGTCGCTGAATTCGTACGTTGAACAAAGCTGATTTCCTACTTGGGCGAGAGTTTGCTAACTGTTGGGTTTACAGTTCCAATATTCTATCCACAGCATTCTGTACGCAAACCTACGCTTTATCGGTCGATGGATCTTGTTAACGATATGATAGCTTCCAACGAGGTGTCTATCCTGCCGAGGACTTTACAGTGTATGTACATTGCGACCGATTCTCTCGAGCATCAACTGACAACCTCCAGCGTCAAGAAATATGGCCTCAACATGCTGGGTAAGTCCATCATCCTTCCCCCCACAACGACCGTTTGCGAATCTTGCGACTCACAAAGTACAGTCTCGGCCGATGATCAAGTAAAAGCCTACATTAAAAAGATCATGTCCCAGCTTGACAAATGGATGGTCGGCGGCAAGATCTCCAAGCTTGTCATCGTCATTACAGATAAAGACACAGGCGAGCACGTCGAGCGCTGGCAATTCGACGTACGTCTTCCATCCTCTCTACCTGTACAAGCTCTCTAACCAAGATAGGTTCAAATCTTCCAACCCGTCAAGAAATCCAAGTCCTCCAAATCCGCCTCCAAAGACCAAGAAAACGCCGCTCCCGCTGGTTCCGCGCCCACAGCCCCCGAAAAGACAGAAACAGAGATCCAGGCCGAAATCGCAGCTATTTTCCGCCAAATCACTGCATCTGTTACGTTCCTACCTCAACTCAGCGGCGATTGCACATTTAACGTCCTCGTTTACGCTGATGCGGATAGTGAGGTCCCTGTTGAGTGGGGTGACTCGGATGCGAAGGAGATTGAGAACGGAGAAAAGGTACAACTGAGGGGCTTCAGCACGGCGAATCACCGTGTTGATACTTTGGTCAGCTATCGATTTACCGATTAAGCTGGAGGATTTCGAGTGTATAATGGAGGGAAAGAGATGGATGAGTTGCTTTTGGTGGATTTCGGCATAACTCAAGAATGATTTATCTTGAGAGGCGTTACAAGGCGCCTTGGGGACTTGGTTTGTCCATACTCAATATTCAACGGTCATGATGGATTTGTACGATACGTATCAGGATATTTTGTTATCTAATCTTCGCAGACATAATATCCCAGTCACTTCTACATGACGTGTCTCATCTGCTTTTCTAATGCCCGGATACCAAATCATGGCAGCGTGAACCATAGCTGCCATCGCCCCTTCAACCTCGCGCCATTCACCGTCTCATGCAACCAGCCTATCTTCAAATTCAACTGCGCCTCACCCATTGCTATACAGTCGATAGCCTCGACTAGACTCGCTTGAAAAAGTACACATACGCAAACTTGCGCATCTCATCGACATCGTGAGCTTCAACAACCTTCTCATCGTTGAAGAGCACCCAAGTGGGGACATTAGCATCTCCCAAAGCCTTTCGGATGAAGGCAACGTAATGTCTATAAGTAGTTAGCATGTCTCCATGTTTATCTTGTACGAAGAATTCTTACCCAGCATGGATACTTGTGCCCTTGTGGCACACGATTGATCGAAGTTGGAAAGTAGCGGGCAATTCAGCACTTCCGGCAGGTTCCTTAGGAGCAGCTGCTTCGGCGGGAGCATCATCATCAAATGTTCCTTGGTCGTCAGGATGGCTGAACAGCCACTCAACAGCCCGCTCAACATCACCACCTGTCTCCTTCAATGCCTTCTTGGCCTGAGGGGCACCGAAGCCCATAGCTCCGAGCATCTCGATTTTCTCAGGGTCGGCGGTGTTGGCGCCACCACTTTGAGCACCAAGATCAAGGGGCGCATCAATGTCAGGGTCCTCCATGTGTCCGAACAACCATTCCATCGCGGCGTTGGCGTCAGAGTTTCCGGTAGCGTGAAGAGCACGCTCGCAACGGTTGCGAGGGAAGCCCATGGCTTCGAGCTGAGCGAGGGCGGCAGCATCGGGTTCGAAAGCGGGAGCTTTGACCTCAGGCTCGTCTGGCAGTTGTTCCTCTCCGGGCTGCAGTCCCCTGGATAGATATTCGTCCAAGTTGAAGGGCTCGTCCGGTACAAGGACAGGAACATCAACCTTGATAGGAACCCAATTGACCACAGTCATCTTTCGTGCGTTGACAACCAGGGTATCTGGGAATGTCTTGAACAAGGATCGCTTGGTGAAGCCATCCTTGCTTCCGCAAGCAGAGCAAGTCAGCTCAACCTTCTCGGCTCCTGTGAAGTTATCGAGACATTCCTTGAGCGACACAGGCTTGTAAGCATCTGGGCCCTCCGAACCCTCCTCCCGAGGTAGCTTTTCTAGGGGAACGTCGATGAAAATGTTGTCTTGCTCGTTGCTGCTGTACCGCACCTTGTGGCAACCCAAACATTGGAGTCTTTGCTCGAGAACAAATCGGAAGGGTTGTGTAGGGTCCTTTCCATCGGGGTGGGGAGATCGAGTGATGAGCTTGAACAGGTGCTGAAGGAATTCGAGGGCATCCTGCTGTCGCATTGTAGAAAACTCTTCATGTCCTCGGCCGATGAGGTGCTTGAGCATGGCTGGCGCAAGACCCTTCTGGTGTGTGATACCCTCTCCAGCGACATCAGCGTCAGGTTTAGAGTATCGCCCAGACAAAAGTCCATCGGCTGTCTTTCGGAGCTGAGTCTCGATATCAGCAGCTGGTTCGGGAACAATGGGCAGGTCGTCATTGGGTCGGAAATATCTGTCCTGGAATGACGGCATGTCAAACAGGCACTGGATAATACTGGCCAGGTAGCAGCTGTTTCCAAGGTTCTTCAGACCAGTGAGACCGGGTCCAAACAAGGGCTTGAGCTCCTTCCCGTCTTCCGTTGTCATGCTAAAGTCCCACTTGAGATTCTGTTCGATCTGCATCTCAGTCAAGCTCTTTTCCGTCTTCTGGCGCTCCGCCAATACGATGCCCCAGTGGTTCAGGTGTTCGCCCAGATTGTCGTCGACTCGTTCATCGTCACATTTGTAGCAGTAGATATCGGCGGTTCCCTCGGGTGTGATAGATCCAAGCTTCACAGCAACTCCATGACCGGACTCGTTGGCGTGAGCAAGAGCATGCGAATTTCCGTCTACGCCACCCATCTGCTTACGGCCACATCCTAGGTTGCCACACTCAATACACAGCCAAAGGTTCTCTGCTAGGTCGCAAGCGTAGCAATGGCTCAGATCGTTTTGCTCGATCTTCTTAGCAGGCGCTTGCTGTAGCATCAAGATATGCTCGCAGCTGGTCAGCTCCTGTTCCCATGCCTTAACCTCTTCCTTTCGAGAAAATGTGTTCGCCTTGAGAATACCGTCGACCATAGGTGCGAGCTTGGGATGTGTTCGGTCGAGTTCGGTGTTACAGTCGAGGCACTTGACAGTCAGCGCTGTATCATATCGGTCCTCCTCAGTTTCAGCAGCGATAGCTAGCTTGGACATCTTGGTGGGTGGTTCGTCTCGTTCGACAATCTTTCTTGTGCGGCGGATGTTGAGAGCGAGTGGATGCTGGGTCAGCGCATAGTGAAGTCTATCATGGTTACGGTCGCCAGCGCATCCTCCGTTGAAGCACTGAAGGCAGACATCGAGTCCAGCAGGATCATCCTATCCGACTTGGTCAGCAAGCTAAGCTTTAAGGATTTCAAGGGCTTGGCGTTCAGCAAGTGGGAGTCTTACGATGGAGTCGAAACATTGAGTACAGTCTTCGCGATAGACGGACTGAGAAGGGTTAGGGGGTGTCAGCCCTACAGTATAGTTAGTCTACAAAGTTCTAACGAGGTCGACCACGAGCTTGTCGCAACTATCATGACTGGTGGTCGATCAAATGGCGGGGTCAATTTTGAAGATTCACGTACCGATCAAGTCGAGATGCTGGCAAGCCATGATGGGCAAAATTTGCTTTTGTTTCCTCTTTTTACAAGTCAAGGTTATCAGGACAAGGAAATGAGAAGATTTAGGTGATATGTGTAGAAGGTTGATGTGGAATCAAGCTCGAGCTGAAATCAGCACTGGAGTTGGAAGCTTCAGGTGCTTTAGTGACAGGCGGCACACGTCACTGGAGCTTAGGTTGCCTGGGGAAGGCGGCGGGGCATTCCATCAGCCACTCACCATATTCGTTAGGTGGCGCTGTGGCGTCCTTTCTTTGATGATTCCATTCAATACTTGTGATGATTCCACATAGGCAGTTGTAATTGTCTTGGAGTCTTGGCTGATTGGCGTCTGTTGTGATCTTTTGTCTCGGAAAACAGAATTTCAACCGGTCAAAATGCTGCATTCAGTAGAGGTATTTCCTGATTGGTACTGGCTACCTGTCAAGCTTGAAGCGCCTTGCATGTCTCGAAACCTCAACATGGCAGGCAGCCTGACGTTGTACAACATGGTTTCGACTTAGGTGTTAAGACTGCAGGTTTTAGGCTTAAGACTGAACATTCCCACCACCTGGGATTATCGGAGGGCAGGGCTTGTAAGGCATGCATTTATTCGTATGGTAACACAGCAAATAGCCTACCCTGAAGTCACTGATTGAGCTACGTCTAACAAGCACCAGGCACAGAATTCACCAATAGTTCGCTTTGTTAACTCTGTATTGCTAAAAGCCATGGGATTGGATTTCATTAGATTCAAGTTTACGTGAGATTCGAAGGCTGATGAACACTATATCATCCTATAAAGCGCTGTGCCATTACGGCAAGGGGAGGCAAAATAGCTTACGGTCTCTACCTATTCTGACTGACAAAAGGACCTGAGTGCCGTAGTACCTAATATGGCTTTATTCTCATTCAACCCAGTTATTCTTATCATCTAGGAAGGCTTACCTTGGAGGTCAGAAGTTTTCCTTCTCATTGAGGCACGGTTATAACTTCCTCAAAGAAGCAAATATAGCAGATCTTATTCAGTAAAGACAGGCTCAACAGCTCACTCTTTCCCTCATCGCAAAAGCAGCCACCAGCACAATTGACACATAGCAAGATGTTGAGCGTTGGCCTTGTGGTTTCCTAGACCATCAAGATTACCTAATCTCGAGCTTAGGGAAGTTATATCAAAGCTTCGTCTTGTTGAAGATTTGGCCCTGTCGTTTCCTTCACATACCACCAGTTTGCAACGACGTGATGTCCTGTTCTGAAAGTGGGAATTGCCAACAGCCGTGGAGCACATAGCCTGCCCATTCATAGAGAGGCGCTTCCTTCATCTCGTCCATCGCATCGGCGGCTTGCTGCATCGCTTTGGCAAGATTCACTATGAGGCTGCCACCGGCTTTTGATGTATTGCCATCCGTGGAAGTGCTCTGTTTAAGAAACGAATCGAAGAAGACTTTAGCAAACCTCGACCCGTGTGTGTCTTGGATTCTCCACAAGGTTGACACAGTCGAGCTGGCCCCGGAACACATTAGTGCAGGGACGAGCCCCATGACCTCATCTCCAAGCTGTACATCCATAACACCACCTTGGCACGCTATCATGTTAATGTGTGTGCCTGGAGAGACCTGGATATCGAAGAATTCTCGGGCTGTGACGCTCTCAACCGGGCGTTGCCCCTTGGGTTGCGCACACGACATGGGGAGCTCGACCTTGTGATCCAACGGGTCTTTCGATTCCCAGCCGCAGTGAGTGTGCAGATGAAGCAGACGAGACTGACCAGCCGCGTCCAGGAAGAGCTTCTTGGAGGCGGTCCGGTCGATCATTGGATCCGTGCGGAATCGACGAGCCAGCGTCTGGATACTGGTTCTCCCTGCCTTATGGTACACGGATTCGGATTCCGCGATGCCCGATATGAATCTGGCGTTGATTCGCGCAGGCAATGGTCGTGCCAGATCCGTGGCCGCGAAGCATGAGCGCAGAAGTGACTGGCTGTGTGTATAGACGACGGGATTCCGGTGGATCAGCGCCTCATATCCTTTGATCGCAAGTGCATGGAGCGGAAGCCGGTGGAGAGAAGAGGATGGACACAGGACAATCAGCTCACCGGGCTTGACACGGCGGGCAAGCGGCGCAATGAGGCCACCTAGCATGCTGTCGAATGCTTTTCGTGCCTCTTTCGTGTTGAGATTCTCCTCTGGCATGTCTTCGAACTTTTCTGGGGTAAGATATGTTTTCTGCCAAGTAATCACATCTCCTACTTTCGTAGTCAGCACATCCATGGTTGGTTTTATATTCAAGTTTCGTTTGGATCGCTCCTTAACTGTGAGCAGCAACAGTCTACCGGTGTCGCCGGTGAAATACGGAGGGAGGTAGAACCAGTCAACCAGGACAATGGGTGTACCACTCTGGGCTTTGATCCTGGCCACATCAGACAAGTCGAACGGCTGCGCCTCTCTCAAGTCGAGGAGTTGCCTCATCAAGTCGTGCGTCTCTCTCATGGTTCGACGATACGTGTCCAGCTGCCGACGCAGATTGAACTTGGCCATCCCCTGAGCCTCCTTGATACGCTGTTCCATCGCCCGCATCTCCTCGTAACCGCGTGCAGCGTCAGGACACGCCTTGATCTTACTCACCAGCTCGGGTGGATCAGAGATACGCACCCCGATGGTCCGCGCCAGTGAGCGTGCTTTGTACTTCTGCACCCACTGCCACACCTTTGTGATAGTCTCATCAGACGGCTCACCTGGGGCTGCGAGGAGCAATTCGATGGCTGTGAGGATTGTGAATGCATTGGCATTGGACGCGGTGATGCTCTGCCGGTGTGTGATGCCTTCTAGACCTGAACTTGAGGAGGCATGAAGCTCGCTCAACGAAAATATTTCATCGGCCTCTTCGGCCTGACTGATTCCTCTGTTGCGGATGTCGTGGACTTCTGCCTCGGCAAAGACTGAGAGAAAAGCACTATCGTTCTCTGCCTTTTTAGGCCCATTATCTACTATTCCACCTCTGGTATTGCTGGAGCTCGCTGCTTGCTGCTCCAATTGCCTTATTCGTCTGATCATGAACATGCAAATTTGCGCTCCAGATCGTTGGTGAAGAGCAACCCGAACCAGGTCTTTGTTTCGACGATACTCAGCCAGAGCACGGTCGTTGTATGCTTGAGCATTTGATAATCGTTCTCCCGATTCAGCGCTGGTGAAATCCGCCGAGTAATCTAGCGGCGCCATGTATGTGAGTGCCATTTGGCCTAGCCAACTGCCCTTGCTACCTGGAAACTTGTCCCGGATGATCTGGGGGAGGCTTTCTTCGAGCTCGAGTAGACTCTGGAGCTCAGAGAGGCGTGGGTCCCAGAGCTTAAGATCAGAAAAGTGCATCTGCCTCCCGAACCTAAGCATGACCAAACAGAACAGTCGACGGTTCTTTTGATGCACAGGGGGTTTACCGAGCCATGCACAGAGACGCACGTACCGTTCTTCTGCGAGCTCATTGATATCGACGGCTTTGGGTAAGACAATAGCTTTCAATGCGGCTTCTGTCATCTCTTTGAACTCTTCAAGGGCAGAGTTCCCAGTGGTGATGTCTTCAAGCAGCCACTTCAGTACCAGCTGAATGGACATTTCTTGCATTTTTGCCTGGTCTCCAATGGCATCGCTCCAGCCCCAATAGAATGTCTCCTCCCCATCATCGTCCTGAACCTGATTCTGGGGATCTGGCTGTACAGAAGAAGTGGTGCTCCTTCTCGTTGGAGCGCGGTAACCCTGTCTCGTATGCATCCAATTTCCTACCGATGGCGAGGATGTCTCCAATCGAATGGCCTCCTCGTCCACCCTGCCAGCCTCATCCAGTCGACGAAGACTTCGCAGGAGTGATGCCTGACTCCTACGGAGCAACGCCCGCACCACTGGGGCGTCGAAATGCTGATACTCCTTAAAGAAGGCATCAACCCAGTCGAGAGCCTTGTCGCGATCAATAAGGCTCGCGAGGGCAACGGAGATGAGGTCAACATGATGGTGCACCAGATCGCAAATATCCTCCGATACCGTCTGGTCATACGTATCGAGGCGCTTCTGCACGTCGAAATACGTGGTTCTGAACAATTCCATTCCAGTGACCTCGTAATATTTCCTGGACAGATCTGCAGCAGCCGCTAAGCAATAGCCAGTCTTTGTGCCGTCAACAGCCTCCATGTGAGCGGCCAGCTCCTCTGTTCGCTCTAATTTGTCGATAGGGTCGTCGATGCATGACAGCCTCTCGTACGCCATTGCTTGCATATGCGGTGTGGCCTCCTTGTTTCTGATACCAAAGTCACCGCAGAACCTCTGGAAAGCCGCCGCAGATTTGTCGAATTCCTCAGCGGCGCTTTCTTGCGCTTGTAGCTGAATATGTGTGGTCGCCCACTGAAGGCGAACCACCGCTTCGATATAGTCCCGACCCCGACTCAAAGGGATGCTTGCTACAGCCTCCAGAAACTCGTTAACCACAGGGCCTCGGTCTTCTGGTGGCGTACGATTCAGCTCCACGCGGAACAAGGCATTGGCCTCGTTGAACATGCCTCGCTGCGTCAGAGAGCGCCGCAGTAGTTGCAACCCACCCCAAGGTATCTTTCCACCTGAAGCGTCTGTCCTGTCATGTAACGGGATGTGCTCTGCCTCTGGGTTATTGTATCCCGAACAGAGCCTGGTGAACAGGCTCGCGATGACATATCGGCGAATGCAGCCTGCCTAAGCACGATGTTAGATCGGTCACCATATCAAGTTTGGGGTTTTTGGGACAGATGCCGTACCTGAATGTCAGTATAATCCGCTACAGGTACTCCAGCAAGCCAATGCTGTGTCCTTTCAATCTCTATAGCTGACGACGTCACATCACCTTGATGTCTCGTCCCGAGCATGGCCCACGTCAAAAGCATGAGTCGATGTTCAGGTGATTCGAGGCCTTCTTTGGCCTCTCGCAGCTGTAAAAGCTTTGAGTTTAGGATGCGCCATGCCCGGCCCCATTTGCCCGCCTCCAACTCGAGGTCAGCGTGCTCAATGGCGACAACCGGAACTGCTGCAAAAGACTTGAGCTCATTGTCAAATATTGCTCTGGCTTCGTTTGCGAGCCCTGACATTTTGAGCCAGATGGCACGCTCGAGCCGTTTAACAGCCTCTAGGGGCAATGAGCTGTACAGAGATGTATGTATCCCCCAGTAGTGAGGAGATATTGACATCTCACTCATTTGTTCCAATGGTACATCCATTTTGAAGTTTTGAGTATTGAATAATAATAGAAACGCTTGAGTTGGATTAGAGCAAGTGAGAACAGTCCCTGAGTGTATGAGACAAGGATAGAGATAACGCTTTGAGTATTTGGAAATGTTGTGTCGTTTCTTATAACAAGGCCCTACCAATCTTATCATATTATCCCTTCCGTATTTTCTCCCCTCCTCTTTTACTCTTCGGCCTCGCAGCCTTGTCTAACATGCGCTTTTTTCAGCTCGTTTCAGCTCCTTTCGAATTTGGGAGTTGAGGGGAAGTCACAAGGATCCTATTGGACCGTATCAGTCAATAGCGTCCAGTGTGCTGCGCGAGATAAAGCAATAAATGTGCGTGACAAGGATGTCTAGGACGACTTAAATTTCAGAAGATGCATTGCAACACCTGTTACGCGCCGGTGGCGTGGTGGTCTAGATTCAGGAGCCTGGTTCTAGAGCGCGCAATGAAACGAATGTGTTGCAGTGAGGCTGAGTGCTGACAGTATATAACTTGGTGTATGCGTGTTGATCCTAAACCAGATTCCACGGCTGATGCCATGCGAACGTAAAGACATTTTATATTCAGTAACACTGTTCAACATAAGCTGGCCCTACGTCAAGAACTCCGATCCCACTTACACACAATACGCGCCTCCATTGGTCTTGGTATAATGGCGGAACTGCCCGAAGATTCGAAATCACCAATCCCGTCGTCTGTGTTTGATAACGACGCTGATGACACCAATTTCATGTCCCCGGTCCTTCTGCCATTGACTGTGTCGATCGATGATGATGACGCGGGACAGCTCTCAGCACCGCAGACAAATACTCCGACTGAGCTCTCTGAGCCACGACAGATTATATCGTCTGGGGACTCATCCGAACTTCTCCAAGCTGAGCTCCGGAGACCCGTTCTCGCAGGAACCTACTTCAACGAACCTGCGTATCTCGTCCAGTTGCGATTGCACTTGTCACTGTCAAGCGGAAATCGAAGCTGGCTCAGCCGTATACAGACGGTTGACATTCACGTTCTTGTAGAAGATGCACCAAGAGATGACGGACAGAATGTTTCGGATGATTCTGAAGACAGTGACGATGATTACGAGGAGGAGGAATTTCCACACCCGGCAATCGTCAAGGCATTTCCGGGTCCCAGTGGTTGGGAGGGTTCGCCTCAGTCCGCTGAGGTAACAATCACAAACGGAATCGGCATGCAAGTAGGCTATAATCCCGCCTCTATCTCTTACAACATCGGTGAGTCCAGAACCCGGACGAAGACCGGAGCCATCAAGGTCAAGGTGGCACACAAAGGTCCGGGACAGAACAAGTTGCATGTCCGGGTCGAAGAGAGCTCCGTGGACAAGACCGGCGTTCCGGACTACCTATTAGTACCTTTTATCATCAGACACCGTTCCCGTCGCTTCCGCATGCGTGTTGGCATCCACGCCCGCTTTGGCTTCTGGCGCGGAAAACTGGCTGAAGTAGTGCCCATTCTTGGCCGTGCTGATGAGCCTTTGTTCTTTGATCCGCGGGTTATGCGTCGGGCTATGGAGAAGGGACGGAGGGGTGTTAACGGGGAGAAGGTCGTTGAGTGGCGTGGTGCGCTGGATGAAGTTGCGCTGCAGGGGTACTCGTCGCTGGTTGACGAGAATGCTGCTCAGGAGTGATATAGTAAATATTGAGAGTTTAGGTGGTTTGTCCATCAAAGACAAGAAGTCAGGGGTATATTTTCCTTAATATATGTGTTGTAATGGCCTGCATCGCTCGCTGGAACCCTCCTGCTAGTTGGAATTGTAAGTTTGGCTTGGCCTCATAATGCTGTCCTGGTCAGCAGGCAGTGATGCTCCAAGTCTCAGTGCTCGTTCCTAAGATTATGGGTATTCAAGATTATACCTATGTTACATTAGTCGAAAAATCATTCACAGGCCCCATGGGAATACGGTAGAGGGTCCGGTATGAACGCCTTGCCTTGCAGAGAGCCTTTCTTGCTGACTCGGCATGTCCAGAATGCCTTGCCACTGCATTCTTTGTGGTTCTTTCTTTTGTAATTTAGGTAGGTCATGTTATTCACTCTTTCCCCAATAACCTGGGTTTTCCTGCTGAGGAACCGAGAAAGCCTTGCCGTCCAATAACAATTTGCAGCTGAGAGCCTGATCAGGCTGTGCAAAATGTACCATGAGCGATCAACGATGGAGCTCTATGTCATCTTTTCAACTCTCCCTTGACACCATCAGCAAGTGAATCATCTAAACTTCCACCAGATGGCAGAGCTTCTCGGCATCGTCGCTGGCGGAGCTGGACTTGCCTCTCTGGCACTCCAGCTAGTCGATGGCGGCCAGAAACTGCGACACCGCTACAAGAACGCCAAAGGAATGGAAGGCAATGTGCTGTGGTTGAGCGAGGATATTGAGCTCATTGGTAAACAGCTCATCCAACTCGAAGCCAGCGCGGACGACATCATGCAAGAGCAGCTTGGCCCGATCATGATGGGGAGATGTCGAGACCGCTCTGCGAAAGTAGCAGATCGTTTGGCAAACTTGGCTGGAGATCTACCAGTAAACTCATCAAGAATACAGATAATACGGACTACATTCAGGTCGGGCCAATGGAAAGGCGAACTCGACGAACTCCAAGCTCTTGTTACTGGTCTTAAACAAGATATATCACAGTATACCACCTCTCCACTTATTCTCATGGAGCAGGATTAACCACCAAACCTGCAGATTATATATTATTCAACAGCATTCATATATGCAAAGCAGTCGGAGTTCGTTGGCTCCAGTGGACAGCGCATCTTCCACGCCTTCAATCGTCAACCTCTCAACAGAAATTGCGCCACGCGATAACAGTCCAGGCACTACTACAACATATCAGCACGGAATAGTTCAGTGTTCGACATGTAGTTGTAGTTGCTCATGCCACAAGAAACGCACAATAAGTGGCATGTTCTGGCGTTTGCAATACTCCCCACTGGCCGAGGTATTCAAAGCCTGCGATAATCCGGCATGTTCTGCACGACGTTACCGTTATGACCTTCGGGTGGCTTTGTATCGCTATGGAATTCCATTGATAGCTACTCTCGGAATTGATCTGGTTACCGAGCTAGGGCGATACTCTCTTCAACCATGTTTACAGATTGAAACTGTTGTTGACTTCGATGCACCTGGATTCGTGATTTTGGGAAAGCTCGCCTCAGAGGAAATCGGCTGGACAACAGCAGAGGCCATGTACAAAGATCTTTATAAGTCTTGTCCCGGATTTGTCAATCAGGTTAGCCCATTTGGTCATGGCTATCTTGAGGAATGTCTCCCTCTGCACAGGCTAGGAGTATTGCTAATGTGAGCTATAGTTGGCCTCTAATGGTTCCGAATTCAGGGATTTCGATTTGATGGAAGAGCCTGAGATTTTGGCGAACCTGATCCAGCTTTTTGTTAGATCGTTTCGTACCAAAGAAACGACACACAGCGTTGGGTTAGTCTTACGCTCTTTGGCAGCTACTCTGATATAAGGCATTAACACCTAGAAGCCTCCTAAAACGAATGCAGAATGTGATGAGATTTAATGGTCATATGCACTTTGCTATTTCTCTTAGCACTCTTGGGTGCGATTTCAAGAATGTTGTGCCAACTTGGGAAGCACAGCCGTTGACTCACATTTTCCAGCCCGATCCTTTCGATTTTCGTTTTATGAAATTGTTTCTTAAAACCAATCCTGGTATGATTCTTTCGATAGAGGTTGATATTTGGTCAGTCTAACAAGCAATTACCAAAGACTTTGGAGACAGCCCTCCGCTTCACGCCTCGATACTGTTTGACTCCGATGTAAACTTCAAGCTTTGTCTTGAGAGAGTCGCACAGCCTTTTGAGAAGATTGTGAATTTCTTGGGTCAATCAGCACTTCACAAGGGCGTCTGTCAGCCTTCGCGCGTGGCTCAACTCCTGGCTGCTGGTCATCCAGTTGACCTAAGCGATAAGAACGGTATAACTCCATTAATGTATGCGGCATCAATGAATGTCCCAGAAACAGTGATGATGCTTGTCGAGAACGGTGCCAAATTATTTATCACTGGGGAGAATGACGTCACAGTTCTTGATCTCGTTGCCATGCGAGGCAACTGGGACTTGATAAGGCAGATCGTCGACTTTGCAGCGGCATCCTATCCCGGTCTAGTCCCTAAGCTTTTCGGAAGTCTTCTACCTCTCCTCGAGCCAGCTAACGACGAAAGATGCTATGCTGCACATGATTCTAGTGGTCTAAAAGGCTGTATCAAATTCTGGTCCCGGGTGATCTCTACCCTTGGTAGCCCCAACTTCTACTTTAACGATGGCACGACCTTGATGCACATGCCCGTTGATTCTAGATCTGCCAGAGCTTTGATCGAGTTGGGTTTCACCGAGTTCAAGCAAGAAGATGGTGCTTTACTTGAGCACCTAGGTTCATTACATGACCTATCATTGTTCCGCTTTGCTGTTGCGAATGGTGGCGATGAGCATTTACACAACGACTGGGGTTGGGATATCCTCAGCGCCGTGCTCGATGGTCTTACAACACACAGTCGTAAAGACTTGCCGGAGGTCTTGGGGATTCTACAATTCCTTCTTGACAGAGGAGTCCAAGTCTTATCCAGAGATGGATGCGTGTGCAATTGTTCGGCTGGCGGCTGCATGCCGGGTTTGTGCTCATTACCCATCGAATCAAATCTACGGCTATTCGCGTGGCTTGAGATACTAGAAAAGAAGAGAAATGTGGAAGAAGCAAAGGAATTTTCACTCGCCCTTCTGCGACAAATGTGTTTTGATCAGGCTGGTCTGCACCACACATGCAGTATAGTTTGTGACTCTAATTTGATCTCAGATACAGACAACGATCGATTTTGGGATATACCTGAGCAAATTAGCATTGAGGAAACGAATCAAGAGATGGAAGTACTGGCTGCGAAGGCGTACTCAGAGTTGAAGATCGAAGTCATGGTCCGTCTCCGACGCATCTGGAGGAAAGAATATGCGAAACAATGGCCCGGGCCACGGTTAACACCTAGGTTCAGGCGGAATGTCCAAAATAACAGTGCAAGAAGTTTGAATGGATTATTGAAAGAAATTCGAGTAAGTCTTATGCCGCTAAACCTGCACAAGGCCATCCATTCTGACGGAATAACAGACCTCAAAACAACCAAAGATTCCAGAACCGCTCTCAACCTCCTGGGAATGCATAGTTCAGAAGAAGCTAAAATCTAATCATTGGATGTTGCGGTTTGATCTTGAACTAGCGGTGGTCGAATTTGGGGTTGATCTGTATCGATGCGGAGGTGGTCAGTTCGAGAACTGGCTTCCACTACTAACCCAGCTGACGGACGTCCTTCTTGCTGAAGAGCCAGGAGCATCAGAATCCTGATCATCCAAGCAGACCGCTTTGGGAAGGATGTGAGTATAGATGGATTTGGATGATAGGCAGCTATGAGGTATTATCAAATTGCAAATGCTGATTGTTTTCTATGGATCTACCTACAACCATGGAAGCTCAATTTTGCAGCACCTATTGCCGTGAACATATAAGAAATCATCCGCTTTGTGAAGAACATGGCTCTCCATAATTCCTATAGATGTCTATTCGTCGTACCACAATTTGTTAGGCCATATCTGCACTTTCAATTTGAGATAAGATCCATGTGAAGGGAAGGCAAAAAAGACTCAAGACCTTATCCTAACTGATAAAAATAGCTAATCTGAAGGCCTCCTAAGTCTTTACTAAATTTACCTAAATGTTTTTATTACTTAGGATAGAGTTCCTAAGTTTTCTTGCTCCCTGAGGCATATATATAGAGGAGAGTTCCCTTATCAGTAAAGAAAAAGCAAAAACTAGACCCTATACTACACTAAAGTAACTTACAGAATGCATTACTTCTATAACAATACGTAGAGTATTCTAAATTTTATATACTTATATAAATTCTCGTTGTAGTTGGATGAATGACTTGGCAGCTTCTATGCCAGTCGAAGCCGGGTCGTCAGAGGATTGCCCCGAGGTTTGGTCAGGGTCCGATACTTGGAGACTTCAATCACAGCACAGAATCATCACGAAATGTCTGTAGTGTCTAAGGATATGCCACATGTGATATTTTGAGCTAATTTCACAATGTTGCAGCTCCATACAGATCGATGTAACCCAGTTTCTATTGAAGCGCCAAATGTCCGGGAGCATATCCCCGACTCCGTGTAAAAAGCGAGCGGGGATTTCAACGACCGAGATCCACCAACTTGCAATTCGTCTTTCATCTGACAATCAGAGTCACAAATTAGTGCTAGAATCATGCATTGACAATTGTTATGTTACTTTCGGTCTCGGACCAATTGATAGCTTTCTTACCCGAAGGTAAACATCCTCATTCTGTGACCCCGCGGACTATGCACGGAGAAGTTGTGTTAACTTATCAATCTTGTGTTGGTCTTATCAGATGGACAAAGCCGTTGACAAATCATTTCCAGCGCCGGCATACCAACGCCGATGTCGCCGGGTTTACACCGAAGTTCAGAACTTCATTAACTATCAACATATTCTCATTTGGCCAGTAATAAATCGATCTGCATTTTAGGGGTGAGACTACAGTGTCCGTACGGAGAAGAATACCGATGGACCGCTTGAAGGATCGAGAATCAAACGGATAAATTGCCGCTCCATGTTCCATGACGATTTTTGATTCGCCTCGGCACGTCATTAGTAATGAATGTTTTGGTGTCACTGGCTGGCATCTTATCAGATGCAGACTAGTCCGGGTCCCCGGCCACAACCTAAGCTGTCGGTTTACTCCTCACCTGTCAATCCAATCGGACTGACTTTGCTCCATTACGTTTGATGAGAACAGGAGAGCATAATACTCGACAAACAGTAAATTGATTAAAAAACAGTAATAATAACATGAGTGCTTATAGTAAAGGCAGAAGTCGGACAAACGTCAATATAAAAAGAAGTGGGAAAATAGGCGGGTCTTGAACCTGTCTCTCTCTTCTCCGAGGAGTACCGAGCTAATAAAGACGTAATGGCCGAGCAATCGAAGCTCACTGATTGGCTCTCGTCTACTCCACACCACCGCAAGCCATGGCCCGAAATCGCCATCTCCTCAAGTCCCGCCCGCAACAAGAGCATCTTTTTTTTAGCCAAACCCCCAGACTTCCTCCCTCCGTCATCGCTTTTCGCCTCCCATTCAACTTAACTCTTGATCTTGCATCACTTTCCAATCTTGCATCTTGCAACAATCCTGAGAAAAAACTCTCAACGACCTACGCACAACCTGATATCGACGACTTCGATATATCACCAAAACCTACACACACAACACATACCACAATGTTCGCTAGAGGACTTCGCGCTGTCTCGCGGCGAGCTGCTGTCGCTGCCCCCCTCGCCCGTCCTACCATCCTCCCTGCCCGCCAGATCTCTCCCGCCGTCGCCGTCAACGCTACCCGCTCCTACCACGAGAAGGTTCTCGACCACTACTCACGACCCCGAAATGTCGGCTCCATGAACAAGAAAGATAGTGATGTCGGAACCGGTCTCGTCGGCGCCCCTGCCTGCGGCGATGTCATGAAGCTCCAGATCCGCGTCGATCCTGAAACCCAGAAGATCTCCGAGGTCAAGTTCAAGACATTCGGATGCGGTTCCGCCATCGCCTCCAGCAGCTATCTCACTGAGCTTGTGCGCGGCATGAGCTTGGATGATGCTGGAAAGGTCAAGAACACTGAGATTGCTAAGGAGCTCTGCTTACCCCCCGTCAAGCGTAAGTTGCTACCCTGATATTTCGCTTACCGTTCGCTCAATTGCGGTATATTGCGCACTGTGATGCTAACTCGGTTTGATAGTGCACTGCTCCATGCTTGCTGAGGATGCTATCAAGTCTGCCATCTCCGATTACTACACCAAGAACCCCAACGCCAAGGTCAGCAACCTCAGCGGTACTGGCATGAAGCTCCCTGAGGCCGACGCCGCTGCTGCTTAAACGTGGTAATTCGTCAAGAAAATCTCAACATAAAAAAACACGAATATTACATTGCTTTTACGCCATGTCACCATACTTGGGAAACTAGGATATGATACCCTCTTTGAGGCAGGATGAAAAAAGAAAGTCGTTCGGAACACCAACGAAGGAGGGGGAGTCATCTTTGGATCTAGTCTGGAGTAAGACTGTCTGACGCAACACGTCTGACTGGTCTTTCCCTTCTTTATCCGCACATTCATGGGATCAGTATTTGGGAGTCAGGGGTTCTTATTGTTATTTTCTGCCTGAAATCACTATGGTTGTGATTGGGCTTATTGGGGATGCGTGGAAGAGGGGGGCCTACAATTGGAGCGGGGTCGGTAGAATGAGATGAACTGTATCAAATAGCTACAAGCGCGAAATGTCAAATGTCTTCCTCAGAACAAATTCGTTGTTTCTTCGTGAGTCAGTGAAGATTGATAAGCTGTTATCTGATGGGGTGATGGATAGCGGCCTCCGCGGAGATGAGCTGTCGTTGTGATGCGGCTTGTGTTATCAATCACACAATTTTCAGGGTCCATGCCTCGGTCACCAGGTCCCTCGCTTCTTGGGTTAGACAACCTCATTTCTGGAGCCTGACGATCATCATAAGTTCTGTGAGCGCTCACCACGATTCGACTGATTCACTCCATGTACGTCTCCAGGTGATCTCTCCATAAAGCCAATTCCTGAGACCCTGTCCAATCGGTAGCAAGTGATCCTAGTCCAAATCTCGTGATTCACCCTCAAAGCTCCTTATCAATCACCCCACCAACCATGTGCGCGAGGACAATCTTCTCGTAAAGCGACTCTATACACCAATTCAAATTTAATAACAATCTTTTACACTTTACCTGCGTTATACTACACCAGATGCACATTCAAGAAAGAAATGTAGACAACAGATCTTCTTATCCCTGCTGCAACTCATGCAAGGTCCAGTTCTGCTCAAAGAAATCCTCCGTAGCGCGTCAGCATCAGGCCATTTTCCACCAAAAAAGTAAAGCCACCGTTGCATTTCGCGGGGTAGCTCGATCGAATTGAGATATTGGGTTCCGAGGGTTTGGGAGAGGGAAATTGAGTGCCTGTGGGGGTTTTCGTATCGAATTTTGCGTTGGTGAGGATTTGGGGGCTGTGTATGGGTGGTGTAAGTACGGATTTGAGGTGAACAACACGATTCAAGGCCAAGGCAGTTCTTGATCACATCAGCGTACTATGATTTGCTTAGGGGAATAGTTTCTGTCTATCAAATTAAACGTTTGCTCTTGGTAAACCCATGTCTATCTATATGCATGCATCGCTCGATTCACAACCCTCGACTAAGCAGCTGGCAAATGAATGCCATGAAATCCCTGTCCAATCGCAAAATCAGCCTCTGCCCTACCCATCTCCTCCATAGTCTTGCCATTCAAGCACAGTATATATGCAGCCTCATTAACTCCATCGACAACCAGACTGAAGATGATACCATCATCTTCTTCCACCGCTCCGGGCCTTGGCACAAAGACCGGCTCGCCAGGGGTATGCCCTTCAGGTCCCGTCCATATGAACGCTTCACTGGTATCTAAGTCTGTCTTTACCAGAGCGTCGACTGAGGTTGTTAGACCGCGCAGTGAGGCGCTGTAGACGTAGCGATAGGGTTTGCCGTTGCGAAGCGGGTGAATAGTTGGGAGCTCGCCTGCGTGCGGGCTTGGGATGGCGAGGACTTCTTCTGCACTAGCGGAGAATGTTGTATCTGGTGCTGGTTTCGGGGGCAGTCTGAAGCGGTATCTTGTGAGAGTTGGTGCGCAATTCTTGTACCGGTCATTCTTGAACCAGTATTTCTTTGTAGCGTCGTCGCGATCCATAAGAACATCGTAGTAGAACCCCTTGATGATGTCCATGTTTTCATACTTGGCCATATCAAAGAAGAGGTCTGTCTGTTCAGCACCATCCTCATCTTTAACCTTTTCCTCAAACGCATTGATGCTGTGGAAGAAGAAAGCAGCGGGTGTCGAGAAAGTAGCGACAAGCCCCTTTCCATGTCGTCGATCAACAACAAGCCACTTGCATTTCCTCTCTTTATCGAATGGCTTCATTGAATCGATGATATTTCCCTCCCATTGTGTCTTCAGTCCTCTCCATGCGTAGTGCGATGCTGGTATGCATATCACGACGTGGTTTTCTGTGAGGAAGAAACTGTGCATGTACGCCGGTGGAACATTGAGATCAGAGATTGTAGCGAGGACCTCTGTTTCGCCTGAAGCAGCGTCGACTCTGAAGATTCGATATGTTGGAACTCGGCCGAATGCGAGGTTGAAGTTGAATAAGTCTCCTGAGTCGGGGTCGCGTTGGGCGTGAGAGCAGGAACAGGGACCGCTGAGAGAAGGGTGAAGATCGTATTGCGTGGTCTCGCCCAGGGGCTGAAGAGTTGATGGGTCGATGCGACGTATGCCAGTGTAGTCTGTAGAAACAAACAGATTACTCGTGTTCACACGATGTCCAAGAGGTCCTGTCACTCCATTCGACACCTCCGTCTTCTCATCCTCCGGCACACCAGGAACATTCGCCAAAAGCGCAACATTATGATTCCCCAACTTTGGTTCAAAAACAGTCATGACCTTCGCAAAGATCCCAACACAAGGATCAGCTTTCTGTCCAAACGTCATTCCCGACCGCCATCCCTTCTTCTTCACATCAGCAATCCACTCATCAGCCTGTCGTCTTGATGAGTACCACACTTGTGTCTCGTCATCTTCAGAAGGAATGATGTCAAAGCGATGAGTTTGTGCGAAGCCGTCGAACCAGTGTGTTGTGAAGTGTGTACCGCGGGCTGTATCTTCAACGCGACTTTGGCCGGGACCTGTGCGGTAGAGAGAACCAGCTGCCCACGAGGGGAAAGTACCTCTGACAGTTAGGCGGAGAGGACCGCGATGTTCTTCAAGACGATCGAACTGGGAATGTTAGTTTCGGGGTTGAGAAGGATAGGGAATGACTTACGGCGGCTTCATTAGGCCATGATTTCCATGATTGGGCGAGGATGTTCTTGGTGATGTTTGAGGCGTCTTCTTGCTCGTGCTCTCGGGTGCGGTGATAGACACCCGGGCCGTTGAGCGCCATATTCGGCATATTAAAGTTTATTTGCGAAAACGTCTAAGTGAGAAATAGTTGCTCGTTCAAGGGTCTTGCTTCGTTTGCGGCGATATGGTTCGTTTGCTGGGAAACAAAGATGCAAGAACAAGAGGCATGCTCTAAAGATATGTCTATGAAACAAGCGTGAAATGAAATCCAGCTCATGTGCCAAGTGAGAAACAAAGCGCTGGCTCTATACAAACACAACACAGTGCACCCTGTTTGTCTGTGTATGTTTGTTTGCAACGCAACGCAGTGTTAGCACCGACGATGAACCTGGAAGTGAAGATTACCACTTTAAAGCTTCACTGTCGTCATTCAACTTCAAAACAATAAAACACGACTTCTTACAAATGCATCATGATAATAGGGAATTTTTAAATATGGATCTCAGACTTATTAAGTACAAAAACCCGCCCGTTGTACTCCCAATACACCACCCCCATGGGCTGTGTAAAGTCAATGACGCTACCATCAGAAAATGAAACCGGATTCCGCACTAGAGAACGAAATACCAAGCCCCGACACTTCCGCATCCCCAAATCAACTCATTTTTCAAAATGTCGGCACCCGAGGAGCTGAGGTTGTCGAGTTGAGTTCAGTGAGTTACTTACCTTACTAGTGGTTCAATACTTTGTGTGCCTTCGCGTGTGCGGTATTGTTCCGCCCGTCGCTTGAGGGACCTATCAGAGGCTGAAGACGACGAGAGAAAGATGGTTAGTTTGGACGTTGGCGTTTAAGGGGATGTGGTGACTGCTTGTACGTGCGATTCTGTGTTAGCGAAATCGAGTGTGGCTTGACGAGAGCCTGCTTCGTTGGTCTGGGCATCGTGGAGTTCTTGTTGTACGGCAAGCGGGGGATTGACGACTCGAGATTCCGGTGTGTTACTCTTGGCTGGATCCTGGCGTTTATTGCTTGTTGTGCTAGATTTAGAGTAGGCTATTAGATTCCGAGGTAGCGCATACTATCAGGGGGTGATAGTTTGATGTTCATGGGATTTCGATGTCGATGACAGACGTCGGCCGTTGTAGAGACCTTCCTGGTCGATATAATCAAGACCTGGCACTGGCCCTATTGAATGAGATGAGAATATATATTCATGACGAGTTATTCTCTCTGGAATCAACAAAATTGACAGCATCACTGTTACTCAGATGCGGATCTCATAAATACCAGCCTTTAGTCTGAGCAACCAAGCAAATCATGCATAATGGTCAGATGGCTCTCAAGGTATTGGATGTTTGCTTCATGGCTGACTCCATTCTATTTACAGTTTTTATCGTCTTGGCAAGCAAACAATAATTGATGTCATGATTCCATTAATTGCTTCCATGAAAACATCTGAGAGAGCATTGAAGCTAGAGTCATGTCGAGGGTATTCTTGTTGAAGACCTCCAATTGTTAGATTGATCATCCACCTCAATATGATGAAGAAATCAAGCAGCTGGGACGGGGAGACATGCTAGGGGTTCACCCACTGAATCTGTGCTGATCTTAGTGGACAACCTTCTGAGCGTCCATCTCTTTACACGTGATTGGCCAAGCATCATCAACATCAATAATTCATCGATACCGACCGATTATCAGAATCAATACTACAAAGAAATATCACCATGTCATCTCGTACAGCAGCACCGACGATACCGTCGTTGAAGCAGTCTTTCATCACCAGCCAAACAACACTTCTTTCCCAGCCTCTCGCTCCATCCCGCTCATGGCAAGAAACCAACGACGCGTCAGATGAGGCTATCCCCGAGCGCGTCGTTCAAGAAGTCCTATATAATCTCAACCACACTATCCAGCAACATTGTCGTCGCGTGTACCCTCCGCAGGCTAGTCGCAATATTGCTGAGCAGATCAGTGATGTGTATACTAAGGATGCTGAGCGGAAGGTGGGGGGTCCAACTGATACTGAGGGCGGCATTGGCAGAGAGCTAGACTTGAGTGAGTACTTCACATCAAATATGAGATCTTCAGACTGACCTTTTTAGCCGAAAATGAAGCTATAGAAGCGCTGCCCGCTTCCTGGCACTTGGAAAAAGACATCAACGACCATCCCATGGAGACTAAGCGGTATGCAGACGCTGTTCAGCAACTCACTGAACTCAACGACCAGCGCAAGCAACTTCGAGAGCAAGTCGCACGCTTGAAGCGTCTTCAATCTATCGTTGAGCCGCTTCAGACAGATGAAAATGGTGCCGGTATTCAAGAGAATCTACTCACTCGAAACGGACCCGTTGAGAAGGAGCTCGAGAGAATGAGAATCTTATTGGCGAGAGTTGGTGGCCGTGTGCTTTCGCTACCTGAGGAAGCTCCGAATGGTGAGGCGAAGGAAGTCAGCTTGACTGAGATGGGTGCACAAGGACGCAAGAGACGCGTTGATCAGTTTCTTGCTGATGATAAAGTGTTTCCGTCATGAACGTGCATTGAGAACTGGTCACGCCAAATCTCTCAGTCCAGTGGCAGGCCATAACCAAATTTTCTCAAAATGTGCGGCTATGGTAAATGAGTCTGTATCCCGCAACATAGGTCATTTGTCCACTATCTCGCACATCGCGTTGTCGGGCTCGGTTGGTCATCGCCGTCTGAAGTGATGCCAGGTGCTTCACGGGGAGGTGCGCCCATTACACGCGGAAGAGCGAGGTCAAGCAGAGTCTAACCAACATGAGAGAAGCGAGCTTTAACTATGGAGGATGTTTCAAGACCGCCGTCGAACGTCTGGGGCAGTGAGTGAGTGAGTGTTGGGCTTGAGTTGCGGTCCGAGAGCGCGCAGTCAGCTGCTACGATCAGGGGAACTGACGCCGGTCAGTCGTCCATGTATGCATAAACTGCAGGTCGTTGGACAAAGGGTTAACGTCGCCGAGGCTCAATGTCCAAGAAATAGTCACTCATATTGCATGAAGGATTGTTCTTTAGAGACCCTTCTCGCTTATGGTGGTGACCAAGATGTTTGCTGGTATTTCTAGTTGGCGAGACCTACGAACGGTAATGGTTCAAGCCATTGACATAATTGTGGTCATATATCGAGCTCCAACGACGGTCAGCGTCAATAAATAAGAATCGGGCCCCCCCTTTGAGAAGCAGTCACTCATCCTCAAGCTGGCGTATCACCAACGGCCTCACTGCCAAGGCAAACAGAGGATCTCTGTTCCCAATCTGGCACTAAATTGTCTCTCTGGTACGGTTTACAGTGATAGACCCCAATGAATTGGGCCCTGTGCTACCCTTGACTCCCATGTTAGCCTAAGCTTTCATCTCCCGTACACATGTAGACAATGCGTGAGACACTGTTTAGCCTTGCTGCGTCACTCTTCTCGTCAGTAGCGAATCATACGAGCCGTCCATTCAGAGCTCTTGTTAGTCAACTGTTCAATCTGTGTCGCCTGTCATACGATGTCGTGCCCAGTTGAAGGATTGGCCGTGGTCGAATACCCGAGAGTGCACAAGCCCGAGAGAGAACCAACACAGACGTCTAGTTCTAGCCAATGAACGTTCTGACGAATCTAACGGATATCTTGATGTGTATCAGTGGCTTGATGGCGATCTATTGTGCAGCGCTTGTGTCAGAAACCACTGGTTACTCATCTCACAATGGCGCCGTCGATCCTCAATGATTAGGTCAAAACACTGTAGATTGGGAATACATTGAGCCAGTGTACGGTAGATATCGATAGTGAATCCATGAAAGTTGTCAGAGAAGATACGGCGGCCTTGGCGCTTGGTCATAAATACCGGCGCTAGGGTAGGTTGGACACAGAGCATCTTACAACCTATACACTCATTCTTACACACATATATATAACTTCGACAACATGGGCCCTAACAAACCCCAAATCTTACCTTATACTACTCGCTTACACCGTATATACCGTGCCTTTGGCTTTACTAAGGGGTACAACTTCGTTCTTTGGTTCCTCTTCGGCGGAGCTTTTCTTGCTTTTACACTGTCCCGTTTTATATATCTCGACTTTGATGGACGACTATGTCCTAGTGAGCCACCTACCAACAGACCGTACGGTTCAAGAGGAGCTGTTCCTGGAGAGTGCTACTATTACCGTCGTGGTGTCGGCAAGGCTGGGATAATCATGCATCTTGCTGGCATTCTCCCGGCAGCTGTTCTGGTGGTCTTTCAGTTTCTACCAGTTATTCGACATAGATCTCTCATCGTTCATCGAATAAATGGCTATATTGTTCTCCTGTTGTCAACAATTGGAATGATTGGGGTCTTTATAATCGCCAGACACACTTTTGGTGGCACGTTGGAAATGCAGACGGTTACTGGTGCTGCGAGCATACTGTTTGCTACATGCATGTTGCTGGCTTACATCAACATCAAGAAGCTCCAACTTGAGCAACATCGAGCGTGGATGATCCGAGGGTGGATTATTGTGAGTCCTGACACAGAACTGGGATAATTGACTTGCCAACACTTTCAAGGCCGCTCATGTTGTCACCATGAGACTCATTGGGATTATAATGGCCCAGATTACCAGCCGGATGGATCCTTATTATACTACTACTCCATGTGCAGTCTTGGACTCGATGTTCTATCACAACAAGCCTGCTGTGGAAGCACCATACCCCGACTGCATTGGATTCTACACGGGTGAAACTCCAGACCAGCGCGTCATCATCAAGGGAACATCGGGTGGACGCCCCGACGAGATTGCAGCCAGTCTCAATAGTACTTTTGGGGCGAGTGCCTGGCTTGCTCTGCTCATTCACATCATCGCTGCGGAGTTGTATCTTCGACTTACCTCTGCTGAGAGTGAGAGATTACGAAAGGTGTCTTATAGGTGGCAGCAAAATGCTGGTATGAAGGATCCGGGGAATGCTGGGTTGACGGCGCAGAGACTTGGGGATGCGGAACCGTGGGCATATCCTGTTGATGACCAGACGCTTTATGATGACGGGGAGAGTTTTAGGTAATGGAACGGTAATTCATAGAAAGGGAGAGGATATGATCTTGTCATATACAACTCCGTAGGTAGCTAATACGAAAAGCACAAGATGCCGTTGACTCAATGAGCGAGTGAAGCATCAGATCATACTGAATCGAAGCATTACACGACTATCTACAGCTCCTTCATTATATACCAGACCACCAGTATGTCTCATCAACCTTGAATGAGCCCTTGAGTGCCTTATCGGTCACAGCACTGCTATCGCTGATAATAACCTCGTACTCACCAGCCTCGACACACCACTTGTCTTTCTCCTCATCAAAGTAAGCAGCGGTATATTTCTCCAACTCGGTGATAGTCACTGTCTTGGACTCGCCAGCATCTAGCTCAACCTTTGCGAAACCTTTGAGCTCCTTAACGGGACGGTTCACCTTGGCGGCTTGCATCGGGCGCACGTAGAGCTGCGCAACTTCTGCACCGCGCACGGAACCTGTGTTTTTGATGATCACGCTTGTGGTAAGCTTGCCTTCATTTGAAGAAACATTGAGGTCCGAGAAGGCAAAGGTGGTGTATGAGAGACCGTGGCCGAAGGGGAAGTTGACCGCACGGTCGGCAAACTCGTAGTATCGGTATCCCATATACACATCCTCACCGTAAAGTGTTCGCCCGGCTTCAGTTCGGAAATTAAGGAATGCTGGGACATCGGTTAAGCGCTTGGGAAAGCTCAGTGATAGCTTGCCAGATGGGTTGGCATCACCGAAGAGAATATCCGCGATGCAGTTACCCGTCTCATTACCACCATACCACGCCTGAATCACAGCAGGGACTTCATCCAGCCAGGGCATCTCCTCCGGCGTACCAGTCTGCATAACAACAGCCGTCTGTGGATTCGCGGCTGCGACAGCGGAAATGAGCTCATCCAAAGCTCCGGGAAGCTTCATGCTCTCACGGTCGGAGCCCTCCGTCTCCCAGTCCGAGTTGAGACCAGCACAAATGATGACCTGATCATGCTCCTTAGCGAGAGCGACAGATCGCTCGATTTCCTGCTTCGCATCGATGACCTTTGATGCGCCGACGCGAAGAGATCCGTGGCCGACGACGGGGTTGTCTAGCTTGAGGGTGAAGCTTGGGGCCGAGGCAAACTCAATTCTGATCTTGTACTTCTCGCCCTTCTTGAGGTCCTTGCGGCCGAGCTCTTCGCGGGTCGCTGTGCCGAAGAACGCGTCGCCGGCGATTTGCTTGGTTGAGTTGTCGACGACAAGCTCGTCGTTGACGTAGAGGTTAGCAGTTCCGCAAACGATGACGCCAAACTCGTACGTGGAGTCTTCTTCGACTTCTAGAATGCCTTCAAGGTTTGCGAACCAGAGGTCTTCGAGCTCAGAGTTGTAGTAGTCAACGAGGTGCATTTCCGACTTGGCGAGCCACAGCTCGTCGACGGGCTTGCGGGATGAGTCGCTGGGTGGCTTGTTGTACACCTTCCAGCTCATACCAGCCTTACCGTCTTCACCCTTGGTCTGGCTTCCCAGTAGAGGACTCAGCTTATGTGTGTATGCGCCGATAGTGTAAGCAGGCTGGCTACCGAGCTTTTCAGCGATACCATCGTAAGGTGTCACAGCGTAGTAGGCAGCTAGAGAGGCAGAGCCACCGCCGTGATAAGTCGCAACCTTGGCATTAGGTCCAATGACCAACGTTTTCTTATCCTTTGCCAACGGAAGCAGGCTCTTCTCATTTTTTAGGAGGACGATACTCTCGTTTCCTATCCTGCGGAGAAGAGCGGCTGTCTCAGGCGTATCGAGTGTCTTCTCTGGGCCGTTCTCCTTAACGCCAGAGGCTGCGCACTTCTTGACAAACTTGAGGACCTCTCGGGCGCGGTCGTCAATAACATGTCCCCAAACTTTCTCACAAGCAGCTGCAAAGTTGAGGACATCGCCTCGCCAGCGAGTAGGACCGGGCATCTCAAGATCAAGACCAGCTTTGATGGAGTCGGTGACGCTGTATGTGCCGTACCAATCACTCATGATTAGACCCTCCCAGCCCCATTCTTCACGTAGCATGTCGCTCAGTAGCTTCTTGTTCTCGCTGCAAGCAGTTCCGTTGACACCGTTGTAAGATGTCATGAACGCACCGGGCCGTGAGTCTCGTACAACCAGCTGGAAGGGAAGAGCGTAGATCTCACGGAGTGCACGCTCTGTGATAATAGCTTGAACACTCATGCGCTTGTGTTCTTGGTCGTTGCAAACGAAATGCTTAATTGTTGATTGCACTCCTGTGCTCTGGATTCCACGAACAAGCGCAGCGGCACCCAGACCAGCGAGAAAGGGGTCCTCGCCTATAGACTCAAAACCACGGCCACCAAGAGGCGAACGTTGCATGTTGATAGTAGGGCCGAGGATTACATGAGCACTCTTTCCAATTGCTTCTTCACCCATCTTCTTTCCTGCTTCTTCAAGCAGTTCTTGGTTGAAGGTTGCACCAAGGCCGGTGCCACAGGGAAAGCATGCTGCTGGGATACCGTTGAAGAACCTAGTGCCTCTTACACCGTTGGGGCCATCTGATAGACGGAGAGATGGGACTCCATGCTCTGGGAATGACTTTGTATGCCAGAAGTCAATTCCTGTGGAAATGTTAGCTGCTGTTGTTTCCATCATGTGATGCTACTAACCTGCCAGAAGAGAGACCTTCTCAGCGAGAGACAGCTTCTTTAGGACCTCCTCGACGTTGATATCAGCCATTTTGATCACGTTTCCAGAGCCTGATTCACGGTAAAAGCAAGAATAATGAGAAAATAATTCAATTGACAGGAATCAGCTCCTCTGGTCGACAGATAAATACTCGCGCCCTGAACAAGCTGGAGAACCTGCCTGGGTAAATGACAACCCCGCAGCAACTCGGGTGTCTATTCTGCCTGATACATATGCATCCGTCGGGTGAGAGAAGAGCTCGTTCTCTTCTATCATTTGCCAATCGACCAGATCAGTTCCTTCTCATGATACCAGATGAGCATCTAGTTGGTGGTGAAGCCCCACGGATGATGAGCTTCTGGACTCTACCCGTGGTTTAACCGACATTTCCTCCAATCATAGAGCGTATCGACAGGAGCTCATTCCAGGTTATCGCTTCATCGGGACGAAATTCCGTCTCGTAAACCTCGGGCAAAAACAACACGAAGCGGGGGATATCATCATATGGCGTCTTCAATAACCATGAGATACGTGATGCCAGAGTTGAACCGATGGAAGGAGTCGAATGAACTGATCATGTGAGGAATCACGTGGCGGTGACGCTTTGGAAGGTTCGTGGAAGGTGGGAACAACGCGGGGCTGAGCTTGTCTTCACCTCGGCAGGGGCAATTCTCACCTCGATCAATACCCGAGATTTCCACCTCTCAAACTCGGATTAACAAAGGGACCCCGATGAATCCGGCACCGAAGA